GGTTATCTTTATTTTGTAGGACGTCAAAAAGAAATGATTATTCGTGGCGGTGTTAACATTTATCCAGTTGAAATTGAAAAAGTTATTGTTGAACATCCGAGTGTTGCAGAAGCACAAGTTTTTTCGATTCCTGATGAACGTCATGATGAAGAAGTATGCGCATGGATTAAGTTGAAACCAAATGCACCATCATGTCAAGTGGAAGACATTAAAAAATTTCTTTCAGACAAATTAGCATTTTTTAAAATACCAAAACATATTCGAATTGTTGATCAGTTTATTACAACAACGACAGGAAAAGTTCAAAAGTTTAAATTATCTCAAATAATAGTTCAAGAGTTAGAGAAAGCAAAAAAAAGCCAATAGATTTTTAATTTTACTTTTATTTCATTCGATGCATGTAGCTTGATAGTTTGTTTTGTACTCGATTAAGAATACATATACATAAATTATCAAAATGTTATTTAAAAAAAACAGAGACAAGTCAATATGAAGCAACATATTATCGAGAAGCTATCGGTTCTCCGAAACAATAAGGTTTATGTCAATATAGGAGTTTACAGTTAAGAGAGAATTAAATTCAGGAGACGGGACTATGAATCTGGATGGATCTCTTGAAAAAAAACTTGAGAAAAAAAAACTTGCGAGTATTTTTAATATTAATAAAGTAAAATAAAATTATTCAACAGTGAGTATGCTCTCTGTTGAAAGTACTTCATACTACTTTTGAAAGTATGTGAAAGTATTATGTGCACTAGGCAATCAATAAAGTATTTTTCATACAATGTGTGTATATAAAAAAAAATAGTATTTTCAATCAAAACTATCCAATGAGTAAATCTTTAATGGTCATCTAAGACATCGAGAGAATATTTTAGATGAATTCCCATCTATGTTCATGGTGCCTCGTTCGACTATACTGAAAGAAAAACGAGAGATTTAAAATGAAAAGATTCGATTTCATCTTACAGCATTTGCTAATGTCAGAACTAAGTTATCGACTAATTTGAAGTAGTGGAGTTAGTTAATTAGTTAAAAGTAACCTATGGTGTGAGGGTGTGGTGATGTGAGTGTGGATGTGGGTGAGTGTGAGTGTGGGGTGTGGGTGTGTGGATATGGGTGTAGGGGGTGGATGTGGGTGTGGTTGTAGGTGTGCCTGTGGCGTGTGGGTGTGAGTTTAGATGGGGGTGGGTGTGGGTGTGGGGGTAGGTGTGGGTGTGAGCGTGGGTGTTGATGCAAGTTAAAATAATACCCACACCCACACACCCCACACTCACACCCACCTACACCCCACACCCACAC